ATTAATTTTCCGCTCTATAAATAACATGAACGTTGTTGAGCTCAATCACCATCAAAACTTTCTTTATTCATGGCGAATAGTAAACCTTGCCGGTCCGTTTTTTCAGGTTACCGCTTGTTCAAGTTATCTCTTATTGTTCTTTTTCTCGTTGCCCTCGCGGTGGCCGTCACTGCCGATGATTCGAGTTTTCCGACATCATACACCTGGAGACCACAGCCCCCTAAGAAGCTCACCAAACCGGTGGTTCTATTGATCTCCAGCGATGGTTTCCGGTTCGGTTACCAATTCAAGACGGAGACACCAAATATTGATCTGCTCATATCCAGAGGAACCGAAGCTCAGACCGGTTTAATCCCGGTTTTCCCCACCATGACGTTCCCAAACCATAACTCAATCGCCACCGGACTCTACCCGGCTTACCACGGTATAATCATGAACAAATTTACCGATCCGGTAACCGGGGAATTCTTCAACAGAAACCTAGACCCGAAATGGTGATTAGGTGAGCCGCTGTGGGTAACCGCAGTGAACCAAGGGCTCAAGGCTGCTACTTACTTTTGGCCAGGAGCTGACGTCCACAAAGGCTCTTGGACCTGCCCAAAAGGATTTTGCAAAGCTCCTTACAATGTTTCGGTTCCTCTAGAAGAAAGAGTCGACACGATCTTGAGCTATTTCGATCTTCCCGAGAGTGATATCCCAGATTTCATGGGGCTGTATCTCGATCAACCGGACATTCAGGGGCATGAATATGGCCCTGATGATCCTCGGGTCACGGAGGCGGTCGCCAAGGTTGATACAATGATCGGTAGGGTCATCCAAGGATTGAAGAAGAGGAGGGTGTTTGGTGATGTTCATGTGATATTGCTTGGTGATCACGGAATGGTCACTAATTGTGACAAGAAAACAATTTACATTGATGATTTAGCAGATTGGATTAAGATACCCGCGGATTGGATCCAAGCCTATAGCCCCGTGCTAGTGATAAATCCGCGGTGGGGCAAAGATGTCAAGAATCCGGGCGAGATGAACGCGGAACTCGTAGCAAAGATGAACAAAGCTTTGAGCTCAGGGAAAGTAGAGAACGGAGAGTTTTTGCAGGTTTACTTGAAGGAGAAGTTACCGGAAAGGCTGCATTATTCCGATAGTTCCCGGATTCCACCGATCATAGGAATGGTCGGTGAAGGTATCTTGGTTAGACAGAATAGAACAAATGCTCATGAATGTTACGGAGATCATGGATATGACAACATGTTCTTCTCCATGAGATCTATCTTTATCGGACATGGTCCTAGGTTTAAGAGAGGAAGGAAAGTGCCGTCATTCGAGAATGTTCAGGTCTACAATGTTGTTGCAGAGATTCTCGGTCTCCGACCAGCTCCGAACAATGGTTCTTTTCTGATTACTCGTAGCCTTCTCTTGCCCTTTGGAGAAACAGCGCAAGTAGAATGAAGCTAGAGTAATATTAACCTTAA